CTCGCGGCCAGAGCGGCGACTATCAGTGGGAGTAGGTGCCCGCCGTTGCGACGCACTTGGACGAGAGAAACCACGACGAGAAGAAGGAAGACGCCTGCCACCATTAACGGCGTCACGTCTGCTGATGTGCGTGGGATGGCTCCTCACGTCGTTGGACGAGGTGGCGTGGCAAGGGATAGATCTGCAGGGCGCATGCAAAGTCATGCCCCTAGCGCATGGAGTGATGCAGCGGTTAGGATTGCCATGGCCCGCTGTCCTCCGCGGCTCTGCTTCGTCGCGTGAGCCAAGCCTGGGATAGGGCTTTCCGGATAGGGGATATATTCGTCGAGGACATGTACGTAAAGAAGGCGCTGGGTGAGATGAGTGGGAGCGACGCAGCTACTGCTTCAACTGCGAGCAGCTGGCCTTATGGGCATTCCCTGACGGGCGCAGACCAACCAATGACGAAGGTTACTGCTTGTGAGTGGAGGGGCGTGGCTGATCACCAGTAAGTCCTCTCGGCCCTCGTCAGACAGCTTCTGTGGGCATGGCTGGCCACCATTGAGTCCCTCCTGCAAAAGAAAGGGCTACATCGTCTAGGAGGGGTACTGAACCAAGTGAAAGGGCCGATGTTGCAAGGGATAGTGAATAGTGCCTGGACGAGATGAACTGAGTTTCGGCGTAAGGGGATAGAAGATGAGTGACCAATTTTCCAATGATGCGGATTAGCAAACATCTTGGGTGCATGTATTAGGGCACCGTCGAAGACGTGTGTGCTCAGACGATGATTCCGAAGGTTTGCGGATGACGGTGTTGCTTCCGAGGGTCGCCGATGTGGTCTTCGTAATCGCGGGTGGTGGTGGGCGCCTCAAAGGGGCTGGAGACCGTGCTGGCGATCCCTCCTGCGTTTGTGTTGAAGGTCTGATGCAAACCGGACGAGGATTCGCGAATTCATCGTTTATGCTGGGAGACGTCACTCTGCGAGCTGACGCCCCCATCACGGGGGGTGTTTCGCACCACGTCTTTCAGGTACTTTCGGGGGAGCAATTGTTTTGATGTCAGTTGATTTCGGGTTTGCTCCGGGATAGATGTCGACCTCCTCGCGGACGAGCCGGAATAGCGCACTGAGCCTTGGGATAGATGGAGGGGCCTGGATAGAATTTCGTGTGCTGTTGCTGTCTGGGCTTACAGGGCAACAAGACAGCAACATAAGCACACTGTACATTCATTCACCTTTCTCTTTTGTTTGTTTCTTGACTTCGTACGTGTAGCTGCGCCCCGCCTGTACAGTTTTCGCCCCCGTGGATAGTGTCCCTGTACGTTGTGGATCTGATTAGCCAACTCGCAGCCGGAGGCCAGAGGAGCTAAAAGGATCGGGCGTTGACGAGGGATAGGTCCTTCCCTAACCTTTGGGATAGTTATTTGTTCTCTTTACAACTCATAGCCGGAGGCCGGAGGATACTGAGAGCAGGTGGCTGTTCAGGTGAATATTGGGATAGGTGTACAACACGCAGCCGGACGGCTAGTGGATACATCTTGAACGATAGGTTACCACCCCCTGGAGATAGCAACTCTGGGGATCCTTCCGATAGTTAACGTCGGGAGTGGCTTGGAACGATAGGCTAGCTACCTTGAGTTCCCCGTTGGCAGGGATACTGCTACTTCTGGAGCAACATTACACCTTACAACTGTATATAACCAACTTCCTTGTCTACTTGGGTCTGATCAACCGGAATAGTGGACACAGTTTTTCAGTTCTTCGACGCGCAAGTTTTCCTTGATTTGGACACTTCGCACACAAATAGATCCCCCCCCCCAAATTGTAGGGTTCCCTTATAACAAGGACCCGAAGAAGATACCCTTAACTTTCGGAAACCCCCCATGTGTGGCATAGAGTCATGGGAGGCGTGAATTTGGCGGGTCTGCAACCTCATCCAACCCTGAGGCGCCATGCTGCATGCTAGCGGGAAGTGAACGGGCCTCAGCGAACCTCAGCGACGTGGATGTCAGAACACTGATGGTTCCGTGCACCCGAGGCGCGACCTGCATTTTCCATCACTCGCCCAAGGGGTGCTACAACGCCATAAAATGCAGGCCAGGGCCCAGTCCCCCCTTGTGATCTCTACTCACTGCCATGCCCTGTGAGCTCAAACCCAACACGATCGGACCACAGGTTCTGCCACGGAGACCACACAAAACCTAGCAGAGTCGGCGGCCAAGATGCCGACGGCAGCTTTTCGAGTCCCGTGATGTCTGTCGCTTCATGTCCGCTTCTCTGAGGCAAAGAGCAGGAAAAAGAAGAAAACTGAAGGCGAAGGTAGAGGGTCTCTCTCTCTCTCTTTCTCTCTCTCGCTGGCTTGTTGGCATGCTAGCAGTGCGCGCCATAGATGCAAGGCGAGGAAAACAAGGCCCCTGTCTCGGACACGCCCCTGTGGCCTGCTACTGTGTGGCTGGAGTCACCGGGCGTCTTGCTCTTGTTGCTTGTGCTGTTTTCCGGACCTGCGGCATCAGGCTGGAGCCAGTGGGCCGCAGCGGCAAAAGCGCGGGGCCGAGATGCAGCCAGTCGGAAAACCTGTCGTTGCACTGCTTGCACTTTGCGAGCCTGAGTCTGAGGAAGACCCGCGACGGCGTGCTGGCTGCACTTACTGGTGCCCTAAGACACTTTTATCCGAACACCCTAAACCCCAAATCCGAAATCCCGAATCCTAAATCCCAAAACCCTAAACCCTAAACCCTAAGGCCTAAACCGAGAGACATACCCAAGCTCAGCCTAACGTGAAGGCGATGACGCCGATGAGCCTGCGAAGAGGAGGAGGCTTTCAGTCAAGCCCGGCAAGCCCTAAACCCTAAACTCTAAACCCTAAACCCTAAGCCTTAAACCCTAAACCTTAAACCCTAAACCCTGAGCCCCACACCCCAACCCCCCTGGGTGAATTTCGGGTGTTCCGGTCTGCGGTTTTCGGGTTTAGGGTTGCGTGAACCACATAGTTACTGTTCCTCCCCAGAAGAAAATATTCTCGTTATCAGGGATTTTCTGGGGGGTTCTTAAGCAAGCAGTTGGTAGGGCCAGATAGTGGGTCCTTGCAACGAATTCAGGCAGATTCACTGAGTTGGGCTCTAGGAGTTCGCAAAGAATTGCTTCTCAGGGCTGAGTGTCAATGCACTGTCAGGCCCAAAGCTTAAAAGTCCGCACTTCGATACGATGTTCTGCCCAGCACAGTGGGAGCATGTTCCCCACGTTTCCACTCATTTCCCCACATTTCCACTCATTTCCACAAAGTTCAGCACGCATGCACATGCTTTTCCGGGCAGGAATGGCAACTCGGCCGACGGCTCGGACAGCTTGGACTGCTGAACCTGCGGCAGAGCTTGCGGCGGTGACATGACGGCTGTAGCCCCCTTCTAAGTAATTTCTCCCTTACAAAGTATGGGTCTTTGGGGGTTGTATAGGGTATATCAGGGTATATAAGGGGTCCTCTTTCCAACGGCGCCATGCAACTACCCTTAGACTCTAAGATGCTCTGAGCCTCTAAGCTGCGCTCAGGGGGAGCTGGATGAGCTGGGGAACAGCAAGCCGAGCTGGATTGCCGACGGCGACGTGGCGCCCTTACAAGCGTGTCGCCTGCTTCCTCCTAAACCCTAAACCCTAAACCCTAAACCCTAAACCCTAAACCCTAAACCCTAAACCCTAAACCCTAAACCCTAAACCCTACAATCTCCCCACCGGCAGCTGGAGGAAAGCTATCCCTACCGCTCGGCGTCCGGTTCTCAAGAACTCAAAGCCCCAAACTTTCTGTTGCTTAGTAGGGAATGAGGGAACGAGGTACCCTGCATCCCCCCTGTATATACCCTTTAAGGGATTTTGTAGGCTACCTCCCTCCCTCATTCCCTGCCAACCAACAGTAAGCAAAGCCCCTCAAGGAGTGAGCGCTTTCTGGGAAGCTGGTTGAGTGCTTATAGCCAGGCGGCCGCCGCCTCCTTCACCTTGGAGTGCCTGCCGCAACGACATGGTTGAAGGGTTTAGGGTTTAGGGTTTAGGGTTTAGGGTTGAGGGTTTAGGGTTTAGGGTTCGGATTGAATGATGTCTAAACAATCCTGCTGAAGCGACAGCCGGTTGACCGAACACAAGATCTCGCAAGCCAGGTCCTGGATATCCCCCATACTACTACCCGCCCAGGTGGGGAGTTCTCTTCACTTCTCTGTCAGCTTGTCCTCACGCCTTCGCAGCAACTGCTTGCTCAGGGATACACGGCCGCCCGACTACCCTCCGCCGCTGCATAGCTAGCTATAGGCGGGACCCAGGGTCGGAAGCTGGGACATTTCAGGAAGAGATCTCCTTGGTAGGCCCTTGGGACATGTTTACATCTTCCTTGATTGGGTTCAAGAGGGTCACATTTCAGGAATATTTTTTTTCAGAGGGTTTTAAGGGCCACCTTAGTCTCCGTAGGTCACAGAAAGCGACCGGCAGGTCGATGCTGTATGCTCAGCCTGTGTGGTGCGAGGACCACGCCCGAGCGAGCTAAAAGGGAGGCAAAGCCCGCAAAACCACGAGCTGGCACTTAAAGAGCACCGGCTGCTTGTGGTGTCTAAGGCTAGTTACATGGTCCCTTTTATAGGGTATCTAAGGGGTATGCGAGGGGTCCACATTTGAGGGGCCCAGAAGGGACCATGGAACTACCCTGGAATGATGGGCTTCTGGATTTTGTCATGGTGTCCATGCACAAAATCTCCTGCGGCTCCAGAGAGAAGTGGGCTTCTGGGGGGGCCTCTCTAGGATCCGTAGGCTCTGGCGTCCTGCAACTAGTGCTTATATACTCCCTTGAAAGGGGTATATGTAGGGCCCGAATCTCTCATTCCCTACTAAGAACCTACCCATATACTCCCCTGAAAGGGGGTATACTTAGGGCCTCTCATTCCCTACTAAGAACCTACCCATATACTCCCCTGAAAGAGGTTATATTTAGGGCCCTCATTCTCTCACTCCCTACTAAGAACCAGGGGGGCATGAGCATCCACTCACCATGGCTGCCTCTTTTGGGGCTGGTCGCTTCTGGGGTGACACGGGCGACGGCGAAGGTGCTTGGAATGTTGTGAAATCGTTTTTTGTTTGTTTGTTCTTGTTGTTTTACGGTGGTCTCTCTCCTTAGGAAGGGTCTCACTTGAGATTTTTGCTCTCAGAGTCGCTCAGGACGCACGCTTTTGCACTGGAACCCAGAAGCTCTGGCACATCTTTGGCGTGACCAGGCCCATCCGACCAATCAGGAGACATCCCGGAAGGAGCGGGTGCCCTAAACCCTAAACCCTAAACCCTAAACCCTAAACCCTAAACCCTAAACCCTAAACCCTAAACCCTAAACCCTAAACCCGTTTTCCTAACGGCAGGAGCCATGTACAGGGCTCAGCCATGCTGCAAATCCGAAACCCTGTTGTAAGCCCCTAAACCTTGGTATGTTCCCCTTATACGAAAAGTTCTTAGTAGGGATTGTAGTGATTAGGGGGTACGCGCATTTTTTGCTGAGGACTGTTCGTGTAAGGGGGAACATCCCAACTAGTAAGCCCTAAGCCCATCTGCAAGCATGAAGAATCTGGCAGGACGGGGACCACCGCGGAGAGCCTCCCGTGAAGGGTGCCATCCCTGCGGGCTTGGGGAATGGTTCAAAGCTGCTGGGGCCTGAGGGCCTTTCCTGCTGCGACTGTTGTCTTGAAGGGTTTAGGGGGCTTAGGGTTCGTAACCCTACACCCCGAACCCTAAGCCCTTGTCAAAACCCTAAACCCTAAGCCCTTGTCAAAACCCTAAACCCTAAACCCTAAAGCCCCTCAACCCTAAACCCTCCAAAACCCTAAACCCAGCTGCCATTTCACAGAAGTGTGCTCCTCGATGAGCCATGACAAGCCCTGACACTCGGCACTTCAGGTGCTGAGTGATCTGAGTGTCATGGCTTGCCAGGACTATTTCTTAAGGGGTTTAGGGTTTAGGGTTTAGGGTTTTGGCTTCGCAAGCGGCAGGCGTGAGGATGGAATACCGCGCCCATGGCGTTAGGCGAGACAACCGTAATGACTTTCTCTAGAACATGCCGGCACTCAAGGGCCAAGAACGCCAGCCGAAGGAAGTGATTCCCTAAACCCTAAACCCTAAACCCTAAACCCTAAACCCTAAACCCTGCTGCAAGAATCCCAGTGGGCGTTTGGTGAGCTGTGGCCAAGCGTGCAGGGCGCAGCTCCGGGGATGAAGTTCATGAAGCCCTGCTTACTAGCAGTCTCCTAAATGGCAACAGGGGTTTAGGGTTTAGGGTTTAGGGTTTAGGGTTTAGGGTTTAGGGTTTAATGGAAATGACGGTAATAATGGTAATAGTTGTAATAATGGCAATCATGGTAATAATTGTAATATTGGTAATAATACCAATAGTGGTAACGATGAAAGTGCTGGTAGTATGGGCAAGAATAGCAAGAATAGCCATGGTAGCAATCCCAGTAATCATAGTTCCAGCACTCAAAAGAATCCTCGTGGCAATAGAAGCAGGGCCCAAAGCGGCCAAAGTCTGAGCCCTCGCGACGTCTTGCAAGCCCGAAACCCGAAACCCGAAACCCTAAACCCTAAACCCTAAACCCTAAAGGTCTCATGGCCCTCATGGCCAGCCGCAAGAGCTGCCCCGGGTCGAGCGCCAAGCCGAGCCGATGGAGCCAGTCGAGGTGGTCGAGCTCCCTGAGCCTGGGAAGATGGAGTCCCCATCGCGCGCGCAGCGTAGACCACTGCACGCCCTTTGACAGCAAAGGCGTTGCTGCAAGTTTCCGCACCTTTTTTCCTGAGTTTTTGCTTACCTTCCATGGAAAGGCGATTGGATGCATATCAATCTCAGGCCGCCGTGGACAGTGACTCGAATGACACTCCAGACGGTCAAGATGAAGAACCTCGAGAAACTTCATCCACCAGAGCCCCTGGCGCATCCGGAGCCCAGCGGATGGTGTCCTTCCACCTCTCGCAGCCCGATTCAGGCGGGCTGCGAGGGGGTATGGTCGAGAGTGCCGAGAGTCGAGAGCAAGCCTCAGCAACCCACTTCGACCTTCGGACCATGTAGGGTTTAGGGTTTAGGGTTTAGGGTTTGGGGTTTAGGGTTTAGGGTTTAGGGTTAGGGCTAGGACTGATACGGTGTTGTGCTGACTCTGTGTCCACGACGCATGGATGTGCAGGAGCCAATGATCCCTGGGCCAACTTCCGGCCCGGCAAAGCAACGGTGCCGCCGGAGCGAACCCGACTGGAGGCATCTTTGGCATTATCTTCTTATGCTCTCGTATTATTCCATCATTGACTTAGCTATTGTGTTCTTGGTGTTTTTTTTAATTCCAAAATGGCAAGTTGCTGACATGGTGAGTGAAACCCCATGAACCGCAAGCATCCTTAGACACCCAAGCCAAAGCATGCTACTTGAAGGGTTCATGAAGAATGTTACCTGGAAGTTGCCGCCTTGACAGTTGCAATCCCTACAAAAAACTCCACCTCAGCACTTGAACCTCTTTAACCCCTTAGTGACACCCTAAACCCCAAACCCCAAGTCCCCAGACCCTAAACCCTAAACCCCAAACCCTAAACCCTAAACCCCAAACCCTAAACCCCAAGCCCGAAACCCCAAACCCACGCCCTGAGCCTACGAGGCTGGGAGTCGTAACGGACAGGATCGAGCTCGAGATCGGAGCGAGCCGAGGACCACGATCCAGCTTTAAGGCTGCAGGGTTGTAGAATTTAGGGTTTAGGATTTAGGGTTCCGAAATAGCTCTCGGGTCATGTGCAGCTTGCTGAAATTGCTGAGTTTGAAGTGCGTTTGGCGGGTAGGGGAAGGGTGGAAGCGCGGGGGGAGGTGCGAGGGGTGGCGTTGGAGTGGGAGTGGGGTGTTTAGATGAGTTGCAACCAGAACCGCCATGTCACAACTGAGCATAATATTGTGGGCGGGCTCGCAGGTTTTGGCTTAGGGCTCACGGTTTGGGATTTTCTGCGTTAGCTTGGCTCCCATAGCATGCCGCTAATGATCATTGATCGGCTCGTGTTATCCCCACTTGCAAGCCTTAAAAATTCTCGAATCTCCGCTCGATTTGATTTCCATGTTTTGTTGCTGTTAGTTCTTTCGCTTTGCTTTCCTCGTGCGAATGCGTGGTTATTCGTTTTTGTTACTTGTACCCACTTTAAAGGTATTCCTTGCCGCATCACATCTCTCGATGTCGGCTGGAGTTCGCCGTCGGGTGGGCGGCCACCCATGCGGCCCATGAATTCCCACCCTTTCCACAAAGCAGGACCTCTAAGCCCTGAGCACCTAGACTTGGGACCCCTAAACCCCCTAAACCCCCCAAACCCCCTTCACCCCCTACACCCCTAGCCCTAAACCCTAAACCCTAAACCCTAAACCCTAAACTCTAAACCCTAAACCCTAAACCCTAAACCCTAAGCACCCTCCGTAAACCCCCTGTTGTATGGGAACCCGTAGTGAGGACGCAGGGCACCGGCCCTCGTAAGACGAGTGGAGCTCCTGCAGGCTCCGAGGCCAGTTCGGGGTTTAAGGGTTCAGGAGGGTTTAGGGTTTAGGGTTTAGGGGTTAGGGGTTTAGGGTTTAGGTGTTTAGGGGTTTAGAGGTTTAGGGGTGTACGGGGTTGGCATGGTTTTTCTAGTTTGCCCTAGCTGTCTTGGGTCTTGGGTTTAGCCGTTTTCCCTCGGTTGGTGCACTGCCCTTCAGTCCACGACGCGGGTTCGCTTGGGCAAAGACCTCGCTCAAAGTTGGACGACGAGGGAGATATTGCATGCGGCTGAACTGCATCTGGAGGCCTGGTTTTAGGGTTTAGGGTTTAGGGTTTAGGGTCTAGGGTTGTTCCATGCGGTCTAGTGGCAAGAGAGGCTTCCACTTCCCCGAGCCCCGGAGTCACGTAAACACGGTCTAGCAGCATGTTGTGCTCACAAGATAGCTTCACTGACGAAGCACCCTAAACCCTAAACCCAAAACCCTAAACCCCAAACCCTAAACCCTAAACCCTAAACCCCAAAAGCGATGCCAGCTTTTCCGGGTTGCGACCTGTCAGGAGTTCGATGTCGTTCATGCAGTGGTGGCGCTGCATCGGATCGCCAAGAGCACTGACCGCGGAGAGCTTCGGCACGACCAGCGCCTGACGGCAACTCAGTAGCAGAGTAGGTAACCTTTAACCTTATTGGGGTAGCGTAATCCCTATAAATCCTAAAGGTTAGCCGTTAATTCCCAGAGGTTACTGGACAACGAAGGCTATACTGGCAAAGCTTGCAGCCACTGCGGCAGAAGCAACTACTGCCCCTCGGGCTGCAGAGGTGTTGGGTCCCTTAGAGCAAGTGGATGCTGAGGTTCAGGGTACTTATAACCCCAATGAGAACTGTACTTATAAGCACCCCAAGTCCCCTAAGTAGGTTATAAGTAGATGTATAATTGTGGTTATGATTACCCATGAACCTCCAAGTGGATGCTGAGGTGTCACCGTCCGACAACGAGATGCCACATGTGAAGGAAGTTTCCAAAGCATTGCGACTCGAACTTCAGAAAGAAAAGGGCGGGTGGGGGGGGGGGAGGTGATTTGGGATGTTCCCCCTCATACTAGCAGTGGGTCTATAAACCCTAAACCCTAAACCCTAAACCCTCAACCCTAAACACTTTGCATGGCTTTGCCGACTCGTCTCCTGAACTCCCAGGTGGGCGCTCGCGAAAGTTGGACCATGGGCAGACAACTTCGAAGGCCCAAAACCCGAAAACCTTAAAATCCTAAATGAAACCCTTAACCCAAAAAACCCAAAACCCCAAAAACCCCAAAACCCCAGAACCCTAAATTCCCAAACCCCAAAACTCTAAACCAAACCCTAAAACCCTTCAAGCCCCAAAACCTCCAATGCCAAGAAGGCTACAACCCTAAACCCTTAAAACCCTAAACCGCCCTAAACCCTAAAAACACCCCAAAAGCCTTGAACCCCCAAGAAGGCTGCAACCCCTAAATCCTTAAAACCCTTGACACCCCCAAAGAACTTAACCCCCCAAGAAGGCTACAGCCCCTAAATCCTTAAAACCCTGAAAGCCCCCCCCCCCCCCCCCCCAAAAGACTTGAGCCCCCAAGAAGGTTACAACCCCTAAATCCTTAAAACCCTGAAAGCCTCCCTAAACGCTAAACCCTACACCCTACACCCTACACCCTAAACCCTAAACCCTAAACCCTAAACCCTAAACCCTGAACCCTGAACCCTAAACCCTAAACCCTAAACCCTAAACCCTAAACCCTAAACCCCCCAAAAGGCTACGGCCCACGTGGCCTGGAAAGTGGGTCCTGGAGTGGCCGGGCGTGGACTGGCGTGCACCGAAGCCTGAAGGTGCCACCGGCCGTTTTCTTATTTTGCAGCGTAGCTCTGCGTGTAAGGGTTTAGGGTTTAGGGTTTAGGGTTTAGGGTTTAGGGTTTAGGGTTTAGGGTTTAGGGTCTAGGGTCTAGGGTTTAGGGTTTAGGGTTTAGGGTTTAGGGTTTGGGGCTATATTGTAGCCCGGTTCCCCCCTCTCTTGATTGATTCAATCGGTCTGGGAGCAGGCCGAAATTTCCAATTGCAGAGGGTTTGGCAATTGAAGGCTGCCCTCCGCTCATGAGGCGTTGGGCACGTCCGCGATCGGGCGCTTGCACGAGTTGGATAGCCATGGCCTTTCCAATGTCGTCACCACCTCAGAAGATCGCAGTGAGCGTCGGATGGCTTACGTAGGGTTCAGGCAGGGTGGTGATCTCAAGCGAAGATCAACCTCCGCCAAATGAGTGGCGCGTGAGAGAGAGAGAGAGAGAGAGAGAGAGAGAGAGAGAGAGAGAGCGAGAGCGAGAGCGAGAGAGGGAGAGGGGGTCCGCTCCCCTCAGGCCCCGTAGAAGAAGAAGAAGAAGAAGAAGAAGAAGAAGAAGAAGAAGAAGAAGAAGAGAAAGAGAGAGAGAGAGAGAGAGGGAGAGAAAGAGAGAGAGAGAGTGGGAGGGAGGGAGGGGGGGAAGGAGGGAGGGGGCGAAGGGAGGGAGGGAGGGGGGAGGCAGGGAGGGAGCGAGGGGAGGGAGAGAGAGAGAGACTATTCAGGAAGCTGAAGGTCTGAAACCCCCCCCCCCCCCCACCACAAAAAGTACGCCGGGTGCCTTGTAGGTGTTACTATGGAAACATACGGTATGTAGGATGAACAACGACGACGACGACAACGACAGCACCAACGACAACAACAAACCAGAATGAACAATAACAAGACCAAGCAGAATCATCAACTAGAGAATTTACATCAGGGTGAGGACGACTATGATGATGACGATGGCAATGATGAGAATGATGAGTACAATGGTTGCACGTGTCGTGATGATGATGATGATGATGATGATGATGATGATGATGATGATGATGATGATGATGATGATGATGATGATGTCGATGTCGATGACAGCATGAATGCTAAACTTAGGGGTGGGGGTGGAACCCCCAAAGCCCCAAACCCAAAGCCCTAAACCCCCAAAACCCTAAACCGCTGAACCTCTACGGCAAAACCCCAACACTCAAAACCCCAAAGCCCAAACTCTGAGGGAGGGGAAATAAAGTCCCAAAACCCCTAGCCCCAAACCCTAAACCCTAAACCCCTAAACCGAAACCCCAAAACCCTAAGCCCCAAATGCGGGGGGGGGGGGGGGGGGGGGGGTCGGAAGCCTAACCCCGTAAAACCCGCAAAGCCTCTAAAACCCGTAAAGCCCACAACCCCAAGCCCCAAACCGGGGGGGGGGGGGCGGAGACAAAGGAGTGAATGCTTGACCCTGAACCCCAAAACCTTAAGCCCCAAAGGGGGACCGACCCTAAACCCCAAAACCCTGAAACCCTCATTCCTAAACCCTAAACCCTAAACCCTAAACCCTAAACCCTAACCACAAGCTGAAGGCCTGGAGCCTGGCAGTGGCCCGCTTCGACCAGCGAGGCTTCGTGACGGCCATCGCCCGCAGCGCCCTGCAGCTGCTCCCCGACTTCCAGGCCCAAGGCGCCTGAGGGTTTAGGGTTTAGGGTTTAGGGTTTGGGGTTTGGGGTTTAGGGTTCAGGGTTTGGGGTTTAGGGTTTGGGGTTTAGGGATGCATATGCATTGATTGCAGTGTGCAGAAGATATCGCAGACCCTAATTCTCACACCACAGACTGGTTGCTTGCATTACCAAAAAAATGTTTAGGGTTTAGGGTTTAGGGCACCATGTGAACATGTGAGGGACCTTATGTCACTCCCTAAGATGATCGCGAGAATGCAATAGGCCCTTCTTTGTGTTCTCAACATGATGATCATCCTCAAAAATGCATCCTGTGTTAAATGCCTCTTCTCCCCTGATCATCCGGCTCGTGGTCCTTCGCAGGTCTCGCCAACACCGCCTGGGCCATGGCCCACTTGCTCGCAGAGCCAGAGGCGTTCGGGTTTAGGGTTTAGGGTTAAAGTTTAGGGGTTAGGGGTTTCAGTGCGAAGCAGACTCAGACAGCCCCCGAATCCTCCCCTGGTACCACAGTCCCCTGATACGAAACATTCCCTAAACCCTAAACCCTAAACCCTAAGCCCTAAACCCTAAACCCTAAAGCCTAAACCCTAAACCCTAAACCCTAAACCCTAAACCCTAAACCCTAAACCCTAAACCCTAAACCCTAAACCCTAAAGAGACTAAGGGCCGGTGGTTTTTGGAGCGAGGTTGTGATCCATGTCTGTCACGGTCACGTGCTTGCCAACCTGTCACAGGGACGAGGCCCAGAACGAAAGCTGCTGGTGTGGCTCTCAGACTTTTCGGGATTGCTGTTAAGGAGTTTAAGGGTTTAGGGTTTAGGGTTAGGGTTTAGGGTTTAGGGTTTAGGGTTTACGGTGTAGGGTTTAGGGTTTAGGGTTTAGGGTTTAGGAGTTTACCTTAGTCACCATAACATACGATATGGAACTTGAGCTCCTTGACGGCAACCCAGTTTTGGCTGTTCCGTGGGCAAGCGCATCTTCGTCCTGCGTACTGATACCCTGATACCTACGATGTTGGCCATCGCTGGCGGACGTGAGCTTTGGAAACCATAGCCTGTTGCCCGTTTCAGGAGAGCATTGCCAAGGAGGTTGGTCGCAATGCGCACGTGCCCTTCTCAGATTCCGACCCAGCACACCCTAAAGTCCCAAAACCCCTAAACCCTAAACCCTAAATCCTTAAAAACCCCTAAACCCTAGCGACCGTAGGGCTGCCTCCACATCAAATGATGCAGCTGAGGATTTCACGCCACAGGGTTTGGCGAATATTGGCTGGGCCTTTGCCACTTTGGCCTTGTGCGCGCCCCATGTGCGGGTTCAGGGTTTGGGGTTTACGGTTAAGGGTTGTCCGCCGGCTGCATCATCGCCGCATCTGTCCGTGTGGCGTTTCTGTCGTTGTGCACCTGCCGCCCGCACTTTGCTCCAACTTGGCTCCGAGTTGCGGTATGGCTCTGTTTTGATAGGAAGAAGCAAGGTTACGGTGGGTTGCTCTGCTCGCCACAGCCGAAGCCCACACGACGAACCTGCACAGATATTCACAGACTTGCTATGACTTATATCTATATATATATGTATATATTATACATATACTAATACTGATCTTCCTACAAAGAAGCTCAGCAATATTCATCGTACGGACAGATCTCAGTCTCCAGGGGCAGCAGAAGCCCCAAAGAGCAAGTCGAGCCGAAGCTGCTGCAACACGCGCCTGCGCCCTCAACGCAGCAAGCATGGAGCTGCGAGAAGGCGCTTTTATTATATGATTATTATTATTATGATTATTATTATGATTATGATTATTATTATTATAAATATCCCTGTTGTCATGGTCGTTATGGTTTATGTTCTTGCTGTTGTCAAGAAGTATGAGCGAATATCGTGAATGTCGTGAGCTTTATGAATATGCTCGACAAGACAGTGTTGATGCCATTACGGATAAAATCCTAAGAACATCTAAGAACGTCGTACTCTTTCGTGTCATCATGCTCATTCATGCTATGAGTACTATTTACCTTAATATTCTAAGAACATTGGAGTTTAGGAATGCATTATGGTCGTGGTCGTGGTCGTGGTCGTCATCGTCCTCGTCCTCGTCCTCGTCCTCGTCCTCGTCGTCCTCGTCGTCCTCGTCCTCGTCGTCGTGGTGGTGGTGTTGCTGTTGCGATGTCGTCTGTTGTCGTTGTCGTCGTCGCGGTGCTTTCAAGACCACCTCATTGCTTGGTGCTTTGCCTTGAGCTTCGCAAGGCTTGGACCGGGTCCTCAGCCAGCTCCTGCAGATGCAGGAGTTGCGACTTGGCTCCTGATCAGCTCCTGCCGCAAGCAAGGTTGTGAAGATCTGCACAGTGCGAAAGAAATCTTCGACTTGGGGGGCGGGAATCAAGGTATCAGGCTGCAGAGACGCAGCATCAGCACTTGAAGAACGCAGTGGAGCAGCACCGGGATGCACTACTGCGCTCCTTGGGGTATTTTGCCTGCAATGATCCGGCAAAAGGGGTTTTTGGAATCTCTGGGTGATGGGAACACCACAAGCTGCCCTTGCTGACAGGGAAAATGCCTCACTGACAGTCGCACTTGGGGAGGAGGGAGCCGCGGCCCAAGATAGGAATGCTCGCGTTGCTCTGCGTTGCACGAGGGTGAGGCTGGCGTTCACGTCGGAAGCCACTTGATCACCTTGGCTGAGGTCCCCAAGATCTCGAAGGCCCGCGTTTAAACCCTAAACCCTAAACCCTAAACCCTAAACCCTAAGCCCTAAGCCCTAAGCCCTAAGCCCTAAACCCTAAGCCATAAACCCTAAACCCTAAACCGTTCCTGTGCGGCGAAGCATAGCATGCCATGGCGGCAGGAGTTCCTCGCATCACCAATGGCATCGATGCCGCCGACCAACCAGCCTACTTTCCCTGAAGCATTCGAGACTTTGTGGTACTTTACTGTAACTTTAGATCCTTACCCTTTTTTGGGTTAATTGGGTTTCTTAATAAGGCAGCTAAAAGCTTAGTTTTTCGCTACCCTCCTGAGTGCAGCCAAGGAGACCATGGAGACCACCCCGCCATTTAATGTCGCGGGCGCCGCCTCCTCGATGTCCACGCCCAGCTCCCCAAGTAGCACGCCGAACCTGGACGGGGAGCACGCGGTGGGGATCTGAGTTTAGGGTTGAGGGTTGAGGGTGTAGGGTGGCCCAGTGTCTGACCTGTTCCCCTGCCTGCTGTAGCGACAGGCCGCAGAATCAAAGGACACCTGGACTTTTACTGCTGAACAGGCCGTGGGCAGGCACGGGCAGGGCAGATCAGAGCGCTTTCTTAGGCCAGAGGATACTAACATTTCATCATAATGGAATGTTATAACTTATTATTTTAACGATATAAAGGCAGGATAACGAGACACTAAGTTAAAGATACAAATGCGGAACAACATGATCTATGACTATGATGATGTGCAACATGACACTTGCCCGGTCCCCGGCAGGCAACGCTCGGACAGCGCCAGCAAGAGGAAATCAGACAAAAGCCAAAGGAATTCTGACCGGAGGCCTTTCAGGGGGCCTTTTGCTTCCTTTGATTCGTGTTTTCGGAAGAAAAGCAGAGAATTCTGGTAGACACAAGCAAATGGTGTTTAGGGCTTCAGGGTTTTGAGCAGCTTCAATCACACCAGCAGATGGACCCCTAAACCCTAAACCCTAAACCCTAAACCCTAAACCCGAAACCCTGGTTTGCGCAGGCACAGTGACCAGGAAGTAATGGATTCCTGGGCTGCGGCCGAAATGTTGCAGCTCACCGGGGAGGATGGGATTGAAGGGTTCCTTCAACATCAAGTCGTGCAAGCCCTAAACCCTAATAAACCCTACTAAACCCAAGTAAACCCTCATAAACCCTAACAAACCCTAATAAACCTTAATAAACCCTAAGCCCTTAACCCTAAACCCTCCGGCGAGGACCGGATGATGGGCCGCTTTGACACGATCATCGGGGTTTTGGTGCTTCTGAGCCTTGGACGGCATCCTAAACCGGCAAAAGAGGAGAGCAAACTCATCGCACGCCGCATCATGTGTCGGAGGAATGCGCTGGTAATGGCCATAAACCTGGAATGCCTGGGTTCGAGATCCGCGTCCAGCCTTGGGATAACTGGTGGAATCCCATGGTGCGACACTGCGCCCGTTCTGGATGCATCTGACTCAGAGTTTTTGCCCTGAGAGCATGGACCCTCCTTGTTGGGGGCGCATGTCCGCTCCCCACGACAGTCTTAGGTCTTGGAACACGTCTTCGTAGTGATCTTCGCCCTTGAGTTGGTCTACCGGCTATATTGCATTCGCTGGCTTTACTTTCGAGACTACTGGAATTGGATGGATGCCACTCTTGTTTTGATCGCTGTCTCCGACTTGTACTTCCTGGAGCCGTGGCTATCTGAAACACCGGCTCACAATGCGACGACGCTTCGAGTGTTTCGGGTGGTGAAGCTAGTGACCTGGGCTGCAAGGAAACGTAGAAGCTCGTTGAGTACCTGAGACCCCATTTACCTACGGCTTTAAGGGTTCCGCCTACTAAATCGGGGTACGTACTGCTGAACCGTAGGTAAACAGGGTTCCAGGGAAGTGCTGGCAAAGGCGGCATCGGGCCATTTCAGTCCGATGCTGCCCTCAGGAAGGATCCAGCGGTTGGACCGTGTTGTCTCTGGAGTGTAGGGTTTAGGGTTTAGGGTTTGGGATTTAGCGTTTAGGGTTTAGGGTAGTCTAGTTCTGTTCCTTTGCCATCACATGATGTCAGATGCTGATTGGCTGAGGCCCGAGTGATTCGTCTCGTGCGAGCTCTGCGTCTTTTTCGAGGCAACGGGGGCGATGAGCATAACCTGTGCAGAACCCTAAACCCTCAACCCTCAACCCTAAACCCTAAACCCTAAAACCCTAAACCCTAACCCTAAACAGAGGCAGACCAAGGCCTGAATCCCGAAAACTCGAGATGCCCATGCTTGAACCATCTTGAACCCGGAGCCCATTTCCCACAGGCCTTCGGGTCCTGGTGCACGCCTGCAGCTCCTTGGGGGTTTAGGGTTTAGGGTTTAGGGTTTAGGGTTTAGGGTTTAGGGTTTAGGGTTTAGGGTTTAGGGTTTAGGGTACCTTGCGTTGCGAGTTGTTGAGAGGTGTTGGGGTCAGATGTCGACTGCACGGTGGGTAGGTCTGCAGACGACCGCGCGCTCCCAAAGCGCGCTTCCGTTTGGCACGCCCTAAACCCTAAACTCCCCGAACTCCCTAAACCCCCTAAACCCCCCAAACCCCCTAAACCCCCCAAACCCCCTGAACCCCCTAAGCCCCCTAAACCCCCTAAGCCCCCTAAACCCCCTAAACCCCCTAAACCCCCTAAACCCCCTAAACCCCCTAAACCCCCCAAGCCCCCTAAACCCCCTAAACCCCCTAAACCCCCTAAATCCCCTAAACCCTAACCCCCTAAACCCCCTGAACCCCCTAAACCCCCTACTCCTAAACCCCCTAAACCCCCTAAACACCCGAAACACCCGAAACCCTACACCCGAAACCCTAAACCCTAAACCTAGGCTCCTTCTTGCCTTCTCTGAGCTGGTCTATGGCTTTGCTCGGCCTCTGCATGCTCTCGGGTGGCTTGCTGATCGGAAATTTGCGGGGGCCTTAGCGCACCGGACTGTGCCACAAAAGGGTTTAGGGTTTAAGGCTTAGGGTTTAGGATTTAGGGTTTAGGACGAAGCACCGAGTTGCGCGTTGATGCAAGCAACCTAGGCTACAGGACTACATCATCGACGAGACGCAGGACCCAGAATGGCGTCTATGGGTTTGGCAGCATTATGGCACCTCCTACCGATCGATTTACACAATGCCCCCTGGACAGACAAGGGTCTAGGGTTTAGGGTTAAGGGTTTAGGGTTAGGTTTTTGGGTTTAGTTCATCAACCATGAAGTAGTGGTGTGCATGCGTACAGTTTTGGCAAAACCGCACATGACAACGAGCATCAAACACACAAGGATCAAACAATTTGTGCAAAGCGCAAACAGAGGGCATGTTTTGCGCAAAACCGAGGGCACGTTTTGCCTTTGTACTTCAATCGCATGTTATGACTGTTATGATGACATCTAAACAACAACAACAACAAGAGTAAAACTAAACACACACACACACACACACATATATATATATATACATCTGTATATATATACACACATAAATATACATTTAAATCAATAAATAAATTAATAAGTATGTATGTGTGTACATACATATGTAACTATGAAATACATTGAATAAAGAAATATTCATCTATATGTATATATATATATAG